TAGATACGGTAATCCAATTTGGATTCATTGGTAACTCTAAATTGTTAGAGTTAGGAACACTTTAGAGTTACCAATGAATATAAACTGCATGTTTTTGGTCTGTGGGACGAAACCAGATTACCTGGAGAAAATCCACACATTCATGGGAGAACATTTAAACACAACCCTGAAATTGCCCGGATTTGAACCTGCAACCTTCTCGCTGGGAGGCGACAGCTCTACCATATGACTGAACTAATTTGCTAAATTTGGCACTCATCTTTTCCCATTCTGTCTGCTCGTAATCTTCAGGTTCAGAAGCAAGTCCACCCGAACCTGACAGCGAAGGAGGATGCTCTTCAGTATGTTGAGGAGCTGATCCTGCAGCTGCTCAACATGCTGTGTGTGGCGCAGCCCCGCTCTGTGCAAGATGTGGAGGTAAAAAGCATTTATGTTCTTCCCAAGCTTTTCTGTTTCACATTCATAAGCTTTGTTATATGCAGTCATATTTTTATTGATATTTTAAAGAAACCCAATAACACAGTGCCCTAACTTTTTGCACTGGTGTGTCTAAAGTTTTTTTTTTTTTTTAAATGCACCAGCACAAAAATTAGATGCACCCAAATTTTCAACTGCATCACATTTAACAGCAGTTTTACAGGTTCACTTTTAATTTTTAAATCATTGTCTATTAAGCCAATATTAACTGATTATTTAACAATCGTGTAAACATAATGTTATATTCATTTTGTTTTTCATCCGTGCTACATCCGCTCTGCTTGTGTAACTATTACACAGTTACTGGTCTTTTTAGACTTAAGCAGGACATGAAATTGTAATGGTAAAACAAACTAGGGTTGGGCAATATTGACAAAAAAWTTAATCACGATTAATTGTGGTATTTATCCAATAACGATTAATTTGACGATTAATCCCCTGGAGTCCCTGTACACCCTTATGTCCTGGTCACATGACTAATTTAGTAAGAAAGATTTGCTCTTCCTAAAAATCTCTTCCAAATTGTGTCAAAATTAAAGTCTTCAGGCTATACATCAAATTTTAAATTGTGTTGATAGATAAATAAATTACAGAACTTCTTTTATGTTCATCATATTTGAAGCGGAGAGGAGCGCTGAGTGGACATTGCTGCTGAGGTTGGATGCAGGAAGACAAGATCCTGTGGGTTATGGAACAAAAAGTCAAGTGGTAGACTAAAAAAAAAMCCTTCACTGGCCCTGAGCTGGAGGATCCAACTGACTGTCCATTAAGACACGGGAACATCTTCGGCCCAAATTAAACTTGTCACTGGTGCCAAGTGCAGTCCCATAACTATCAGACGTAGTACTGGGCAGTTTGAGCCAAATTGTATATCATAGTATTTTTAACAATTATACCGATGTCACTGTAATTTATGGTATTTTTTTTTCATCACTGCTCAGCTGATAATATGTACAAACAGTGCTTACTGATCAACAAACCATGTAGGGCTGCAACTAATGATTATTTTAATAATCGATTAATCTGTCGATTATTTTTTCGATTAATCGGCCATATCATTAAAACACTTAATTACATGAATATAAATAGATATAAATTAAGTTAACTCCTTAAGAATGCAAGTTATTGATTAATGAATTAATCTGAAGTTGATTTATCTTGTAGATTGATTAAAAATTAATTGATAAGCAGCCATTTTCTTAAAAACCGGAGTTTTCTCTTGAATCAAGAGGGTCTTCCCATAAAATGAAGGATTTTTTATAATCTCCTGAATTAAAAAAACAGAAGCACATATTACAT